AAATCTGACCGGAATATTTAATTTCCAAATTTATAATTTTTGACATCGTTCTCGACTTGCCTTGAGACATCGATTAATTAAATTAGAATAACTTGAGGAAATAGGTTTAAATGTAGTGCAGCAAAAATTGTGTATAATTTAATAGGTCGTACAAGGAAGTCATGTTTTGTCCATATCAGATTTTTTACTATAATTTTCGTTCTAAAGTAAATTTTTATATGTGGTTTATTTTAATATAAAATCCTGACGGTTTTTTGGAGGTTATTTTAAGGTACCTGACCCAAACAGTTAAGTGAAGAAAAGTAATTATATTTAATTATTCAGAACAAAAATAATTTATTTAATGAAAATTTCTGTTTGATACAAACCTTTTACTAAATCGACCCCTTCTGGAAGCCTTCGAAGGTTCTTTTGGATTGCACGTAATTGGCTACTCTGTAGAGTGTAATGCGACTAAACTGAAGCTTTAGCAAAACAAAAAAATGAGAGTTCAAAATTTCTTTTTAGCGCATGGCAACAAGCTCTGTTACATGTGATATATAGCTCCAGTTGTCAAAAGAATTTTCCAAAGCTGTGCAATTCAAGCTTTGAACGCGTGAACACTAAGAAAGATTTAATTTCAGCCTTGAAAAATGTAGCTAAACCTCTCTAAGCGGCAAAGAAAGATAATCCAGTTTCCTTCTCTTATTTCCGCTTCTCACAATAGAAGAAAATTGCTGCCTTTTTCATCGCAAAAAATTTCGGATGGGTAATTTTTGTTGAAAAGCGCACGTGATAATCACCCATGAATCCGATTTAACTAGCCGTGCGGCGTTGTTACTTTGTGAGTGAGTGTGGACGCTTTCACAAGTTTCTTTTCTTTTTTATATTTTTTATTTTACTGTATATGTACTGTAATTTTTTTATATAAAAATGGGTATTTGAAGCTTGAAGTATGGGTATTTGAGGTATAAGTGTAAAATCTGCATAATAGTATCGAATGACTTTTAAATTCGCTTTAACTTACAAGGACGCTTGTGTGGTGGTCCCAATCTAATGAAAGACATGTTCTGCAAAATTTACTTGTAACGCTGCTACTCATATTAGAGTTGGAGTTATTTCCAAAAGTCAGCAAGGTATCGCTTTGATTATTATCAATTTGCACAGTAACACGAATTTAAAGTAAAAAAAAAAAAAAAAAAAAAAAAAAAAAAAACAGATTTAAAATTTTGTCCAAAGGGACTTTTTTTTAACGTTTTGTGCCTTTATTAATTAAATATCTTTATTATTAATTAAATACCTTTATTAATTAAATATCATATTCTACGTACTTAAACCATAAAATTCAGTTCAAGAGCAGTACCGCAAAAAATAGTTTTTAAAATGAGCATACCTTTAGAATTTAGAATTTCCGATACAGAGTCTCGTCCGTTGGAGATAAAAATGTTTTTCTGTACAACGTTGCCATTGCTAGCTTTGAAATCCTTGAGATTGTTACTCAAAAATTCGTTAAAGTTTTACAAAATATGAAATCGATCATAAAACAAATTCCAAATTTCAAATTTGAGTTTCCACATGCCCATATTCGTAGGAGAATTACGTCATTCAAAATTCCATGGCTCTAGGTACGTTGTTTTATCACAATGCGAGAAACATACATACATTTATGCAGATTTTTCATTATATAATTTCTTCAAATATAATGCAGGATTCTAACATTTGGTGGCAACAGTTTGAAAAGTGAAACGGACATTTATAGTGAACCAACGCAAAATCGCAAAACGAAAACAATAGTCCTTCAGAGACAAAACCCATTTGGACTAATAAACACGATGCTGTCAACGAATTATTCAGTTTACTTATTATTATTACGATGCTGTTTAATTCAAAGGGTTTTTAATATATATTTTTTTAAAGTGGCAAAAATTAAAATATAAATTAAAAAATATTTAAAAAAATTCTGAAAGGTTTCAGATTTAAAATTACGTCCAAAGGGGAGTTTTTTTAACGTTTTGTGTGTTACTTTATTTATCAAATATCATATTTTACGTACTCAAACTATAAAATTCAGTTCAACAACACTATAGCAAATTAATTTTAAAATGAGCATATCTTTAGAATTTCGGATACAGAGTCTCGAGCGCTGGAGATAAAAATGGTTTTTTTTTTTTTTTTTTTTTTTTTTTTTTTTTCGTACAGTGTTGCCACTGATCGCTTTGGAATCGTAGTTTTTGAATCAAAAATTCGTTGAAGTGTTTCAAAATACGAAATCGATAATAAAGCAAATTCCAAATTTCCAATTTGGGCTTTCAGATGCCCATATTCTATGGAAGATTACGTTATTCAAATTTTGGTGGTTCTAGGTACAATTTGTTTTATCACAGTGCGAGAAACATACATACATTCATGCAGATTCTTCATTATTTAATTTCTTTAAATAAAACACAGAGCGATAATATAGTGTGGCAACAATTTGAAAAGTGAAACAACGCTTATCGTGAATCAACGCAGAACGCCAAAACGAAATTAATAGTCCTTCTAGCCAAATTGCCCCTTTGAACTAAAATATCAGTTATCCCCTTCTAGTGAACTGCATTTCAAGTGATAATTTATATCTAAATCTATTACTTCTTGACAATAAATTTTAATATTTACGTGACGTGCCCTAAAATTTACAGTTACCCGACATCAGCTCCTTTTAAACAAGATACTTGGTGTTACATTCAGGAAATCTTTGTAAAAGAGATGCTGGCAAATTTAAGTGCAAACCGTATTCATGCGATCGTTACCCAAACTGTCGCTGGTTCTTGTAATCCGCTGACCACCTTTTCATTCTACAAGTTAGAAGTTTTATACTCTCTTTCATGAGCATTTAATTTACGAAATCTTCTAGTCTGAGCAAACATGTGAGATTAAAAGCAAAGAGAAGATAGGGCGGTGCTTAATTAAACTTAATTAGTAGTTGTAAAACGTAAATTAATTATCATATAGTTACCTCAAAATTCTTATGTTTTCAATTCATATGGTCTCATACCAATAGAATCTTTTTAGTATCAGTTGTACTTTTAGTCTCGATCCCCTCTTTTTGGATCGTATCATTTTTCAAATTGTTGCCACAAATATTATAGCCATGGCTTTATTTTTAAAGAAATAATTTCGCGAATGTATAAAAGAAAATGTATTACAACGTAGATAAAGTTGGTTGCGACACAACCTTATCGTCATGCATAATTTCTAAAGAAATACATAGGGTGCTTACACATTCTTAGAACTATTTCCATAAATAATTAAAAAGAAAACAAATGCTTTGGAATTAAAATTTCTTGCAATAGCTTGTAATTTGAAATGAGAAATATCGTCTGCTACTTTTCAATTTATTCTTCTACCAAATGTCATATGTAAACGTTTGATGTCCACTTTCATTCGTGGATTTTGAACCGGGAAGGAAAATTGGATTTTCAGCCGAAAATTCTGCCACCGCCAACACTTAAGGGACGCCTGTAAGTAACCCGTCCCCTATCAGCTGTAATCTGACTAAACAGTTTCCCCTACTTCCAAGTTATCCATACGCACAACTGCGCATTTGGCGATAACTTGCTAAACTTGGCTTCTACGGAGCAGCCGAACAAATGTGAAATTAAATTTATATAAATTTAACCTATGTTTAAAATTAATTATAATTTAAAATTAAAAGGAAGATAAGAAGTAAGTTTTGCTCTACTCTTTCAGGCATGAAATTGTTCGATAATGGTGAAATAAAATTCACATAAATTTGAGACTGATTAACAATAAAATGAAAATATACTGGAAAGTTATATTAAAAACTACTAGTGGGCTGCGGCCAAACAAAAATTTATAAGTTCTAAATTTATAAGTTATTATGCCCTTTTTCCCTTCATAATTCAAATATATTTATAGCTAAATTTAAAACCTTAAAACCGGCATTTATTTCAAATAATTTTAATATATTGAATGAATCTTTAAATAACTTATTTTTAACTTAAATAAAACAAGTTAGGAAAACTTGGGGAAAAATTGAAATAAATAATGATAGCCTATTTTATTATTTTATAATTACATAAAATCAATGAATTTATAAAAAATACATATATTTGTATGTAAATAATTATAAACTTCTTCATTTCTTAGGATAATTTTCAACCACCTCATCCATTTCGATTTTGATAAATTTTGCATCTTTGGAGAATTAATAGAAACTCTTCTTGGTAAAAATAGTTTCCATAGATTTCTTCTTTTTTAGATTTATTAATTTTCGACAACGGAAAAAACTGTTCACTTATGAATGTACTCCCAAATAAAGAGATTATTTTTATTGCAAAATTCTCAGCTTAGGCTATTTATGTTCTGACAAGTACAAAGTAAAGCTAATCAAATCTGTACCTTCAAATCTTTGGATGGGATTTATATCATGGTGTAAATTAATTAATTTTCTCTGTATATTTTCTGGGATGTTAGTCAAGTTTAGTTTTTAATTTGATTCTAAATCATTGAAATCCCAAACTTTTTCTCCAAATTCTTGTCATAATAATTGACAATATTAATTTACAGTAAATGCATTCGCGAGCCATGGAAAGTTGCTTGACAGGCCACAGGTCTAAAATAACTCAGTAAATAATATTTTTTATTCCTCTTATTATTATTATCTAAAATATCATGCAATAAATAATTTTTGAGACTGAATCGAAATAAAGATTTCCTTTCCATTTTCTATGCAAAGAGCACGCAACGTTGATATAAAGAGCGCCCAGAATAAAAATGAGTCAATTTCATTGATTAATTTGAACCAATAATAAAAGACATGCATATTTTTCAAGTTTCCATGGTAACAGCGATTCATTTACTTCAAAATAATAGCAGTTTCAACTAAATGATACAACCGTTTACAAACTGTCACAATAGCCCCTAATTTAAAGAAAGCTTTATAACAGTATGAGTTTATAGCTGTGATGCCACAAGAAAAAAAAAGTGTTAAATTTCAACGCAATAAAAGTAGTCGGGTATCAAAAGCAATGATTTATCAAGCTTTAAAATAGTATGAAAAGCACGAAAAATTTAATGCAAATCAAAATTCTGGGACAGAGGTCCGGTTTTCCATATTTGATAATAGCATAGTACGCGAGGGTTAAGGAGAGAGACAAGAAATGCCTTCATAGAGGACTCTCTGAGGGAAAATGGCTCCTATGCATGATGTGAAAAACCATGAAAACGCCAATGCAGCCAGCATGCTCTCCGGGACTAGAATCTGAGTCGAACTACCAGTGATCAGCAGCATTACTACTCCGTGAGTCGAAAAGAAGCCTGAAAAAGAACAAAAAAATCATGAAAAAAATTAAATGGAAGTTAGGTCGAGAAACTGGACATTTCTCTTCATCAAAGTGTTCAGAAACTAAAGGCATCAAAATTAGCTCTTCATTGAATTAAAGAAAAGATCTGAGATTGAAATTTTGCATATAGTGCTAAAATGTAAGAAAAATCAAGAAATTCGCGAAAAATAAAATTGGTTTAAAATTTATAAGCAACTGATTCTATCCAGGAGTGAGCAGAGAAGGTAATTTTCTAAACCATTCTGTTTTGAAGAAACTACAAAATGTTCATTTTATTAAAATCAGTAGGTTAAAAGAGAAGCTGATTCCTTTAATTAGGCAACATCACCAAAATGATGATATTTTGTTAGCAGCGAGACATTTTACGAAAGATATTTTACCATTTGAACGAGTAGAAGATTCATTTTGTATCCAAATCGAGTAATGTTGCCAACGCATTTTGAGTTAGAAACATCGAAATATTTTTAGGCATTATTAAAAGCTCGTACTCGAATGAAGAAAAAAAGTAACCTTAAAGCTTACAGATTAAATCTTAATAAATCCGTCATTTTAAGATTTTAAATCCAGATCTTCTTAAGAGAATTTTTCTTCGACTAATTCAGTGCTTAAAGAAACAATACTGTGTATGAGGAGCACCACAGTCGTTATACAGATTTTCGCAATGTACACTGGAAAGAAATTTATGCACTAATTTAAATATATACCTCGGAAAAGAATTAATTGAATAATATTCTGATGTAAATTATTAATATAAACCGAGATCGTATTCTTATGTAAATTATCAATAGAGACCGAAATAATAGTCTGATGTAAATTGTCTTCGCAATATAAACCGAAAAGAAATTTATGCACTAATTTAAATGCGGTCTTCGCAATATAGACTGAAAAGAAACTTATGCACTAATTTAAGTATATACATCGAAAAAGAATTATTTGAATAATAAGCCGAAATAATATTATGAAGCAAATTATCAATATAAGACCGAAATGATATTCTGATGTAAACTTTCTTACAGACCGAAATAGAAACCGCAATATAGACCGAAACGAAATTTATGCAATATTTAAATAATTACATCGAAAATTAAATATTAAATATTATTTAAATGTAAATTATCACTATAGACCGAACTGATATTCTGATGTAAACCATCAGTAGACACAGAAATAATATTCTGATGTTAATCGTTTTCGCAATATAGACCGAAAAGAAATTTATGAATTATTTTAAATATGTACATTGAAAATTAAATAATATTTTGACTTAAATTATCAGTATAGACCGAAATAGTACTCTGATGTAAATTATCGATAAAAATCGAAATTATATTGTGATGTAAATTTTAATTTTAAATAGAATATAAGAATAGTGTTAGCTTTAAAATAAATATTTGATTCATTTTTATTAAGATGCTGTTTATTTTCAAGGGTTTTTAATTTTTTTTTTTTTTGAAAGTGGCAAACATTTAAAAAAATATATTTTTAGGCTTTTTACGAAATAAAATTACTAATTTAGGGTTTCCCCAAGTAGATACAATTTGCAGACCACTAGAATACAGATTTCTGTGTTAAGAACTTTTCATTTCATTTTCCAGCTGTTCGCCTAGCGTAACTGATAGTTAACAATACAGCTATAAAATTTAACGAGGCCGTACCATTTCTGAAACGTGGCACAATTTTTTACCAGACGGGACGCTAGACGCTCAAAGGACAAAGTTGTTGCGCAAGACAGCGCACTTTTTTATGCTGTTGTTGATTTTAGACGCAATTACTCAAGTAAATACAGAATTATCTAACCTATCTTTGCTACTTACATCTGCTACATTTGGGTACGTGCGCATGACAACAGCATTAGGCTATCATTTGAAAACTCAACTTCGCGTTACGTGGCTTAATGATTGCTATGGGTGACACTTCGATAAATAACAATCTGATTAACGGCGCCATTTCTGGTCACGATATTCTAAATATTACCTTGGTGATAGATATCCTAATTGCTATATTATATTATTTACTAAATTAACTTTGATGATGGTGGTAGGGCAAAGTGGCCAGACGGCACGAGGCAATGTTACATTTTAAATGGACTGTCACGCTTCGGGATATGCTACAGAAGATGCCCCTCCTACTGTAAGCATTCCCGGATTTTGTAAATATATTTAATATGAATTTTGTTGTGAATATGTTTTCATTTTTATTTCATAAAAGTGTTCTACAAAGAAAAGAAAGAAAAAAAATTTGAAAGGATTCAGATTTTAACTTCCCACCAGAGGATTTGTTAAGGTTTCTTATTCTCTTGCTGAGCAACTTAGGTTACCAATCTGCTCCTAGACTCATTCCTGCTAACATTTTTTTTTTTTTTTTTTTTTTTTTTTTTGTATTTTTAACATTATTACTAAGCATCATTTTCTTTGCACATAAAATCAAGAGCACATCAAATTCAAAAGCAAAATCACAAAATATTTTAAAACGGCATATCTTTAGAAATCCCGATAGAGTGTTAGGGGTTGCCTTATATATATATATATATATATTATATTCGCTATATTATTTCTTTGAAAACTAATCGTTTAAGCGCCCAGCCGCCAAAAGGAGCTACGAATATAATGATTTTAATGGGTCCAATTAGTTTCATTTCGTAAAAAATATTTAATGTTTCTAATTAGACATCTCATGCTTTAAATGAATTTGTATTTAAATTAATTAGATTAAAAAGAAGAAAATTTTTCTAAGAACTCCGTTTATTGCTTTTCACCGCTCAGTTTGCTATACAGTAATAAAATGATTTAATTTCTTCCGCTTTGCTGAATCGCAGTACACTAGCGGGTGGAGGTAATAAATATTCTAGTTGAGGCAATGACTTTTAAATAGATGAATTTGTGGATTAAAATTGAAAGATAAGTATCTTAAATTTTGACGAATGGCAACAGTCTGACGCGCTGAAAATAAAAAAGTTTTATTTCGAACAAATGATGCTACTGCTCGCTTTCAAATCGCTGAGTTTGCTAATTCTCTCTCTCTCTCTCTCTCTCTCTCTTTTTTTTTTTTTTTTACTTGTACAAAATTTGAAATAAATAAAAAAAAATCAACATTCGGATTTCGAGGTCCCCATGTTCGGCTGAAGGCCTACGTGCATTAAAAACTTGGTAAATCTAGGTGCGATTTCGTTCAATGCGAGAAATAAGAATACATACGTATATACCGATTCTTGATCATTTCATTTTTTAAATAATATATCACGATAATCTTTGGGGGCAACAGATTGAAAAGTGATTCGAACACATACGGACAAAATTTGAATTTCAAAACTCTGGGAAAATCTGGTTATTCTATATTTAGATCTAAACGATTGGGAACCATTATACTTAATGAGGAACAATTATACTTAATGATATATACTTAATGAGGAAAGTCTAAGTATATACAGTATAACGTACACAAATCTCATTTAATTAAATGGAAATCTTGTTCTAAAGTAACAGTGGTGAATATGCTTGTAAAATTTCCTTTCTTCTAAATGCAAATTTCTGTTAAATTATAATTTTCTTTTTATTAAGCTATTTATTTGTGTTATCGCTTTGTTTCTGCTGTACATTCCGCACCAGCAATCCTATAATAAGTCTTGGATCGCAAAAACTTTCACGAAACTGTTAGTGTGAATTTCAGGCTACGAAAGTTTCGCAAATTTTCAGTATAATAACATTTTGCCATTACCCCATAACCATTTTGCGAATGTTGTTCTTTCTCTCCTCAGCAATAAAACTACTGCCCTAACTATGACCATAAATGGCGCGTTGTTAAGTACGTTGCAAAATTCGAGGTCGGACGTCTGGATGAGTTGTGAGGCACAGGAAACAACCATGTGTGGTGCGAGACAAATGCATCCTACCGTGCCATTATTTCCGTAAACAAACCAAGCACTTTTGATGAATTTTGATTCTTACTACTTTCATAAAAGTATTATACATATTTTTGGATTATCTCCACCTGTTGTTGTTGAAGACCAGGAAGCCAGAAATTACCGGGGTACAGTTTGGTACGTGATCAGCCTGTTTATGCACCTATCTTTGGTGATCTTTTTCTTTATTTAAAAAGAAGAGACGACCGTGAATCCTGGGCGGGATATTCCGAAACTTCAGCTCAGAACACATCATCAAAAGTTGTTTTGTACCTCAGAAATCCTTCTCAGAACAATGGAACATTCTCCCCCCCCTCCTCAAATGTTGAATATATTTTTTTTCCAAAATCCACTTTATATTCTTTTCTATATCATCATGCAGGCAAAGCTATAAATCTGAGAGAACGTATTATCGATCACAGAAGCTTTCATAATTGCAGATATCTAAAGCATTGTCTTCTTTTGGGAAAGGGCAGATCTTATGCCTGAAGCCAAAAAAATGTAAATATATAAAGTTTAATGCTGAAGCAATTTATTTATAAACTATTGACTGCTCATTTATATGGTCAGCAACAGAACGTGTTGTGAATTTAGCAGCTGAAAATGCTTACCTGAGTTTTTTGTGTTACTGTAACGTAGCATGCAATGAACTTACACAATAAATTAAAGTGTTATATCACTGCAGAAAGGACTCAATTATATCATTTGAAATCAAATGTAAAAAAAGAATTTCATTACATTTTAATTCAGAATTAAAGTCCAAGATAAAAAAAGTCGATTTTATTTTCAGTTGTAAAGAACAATCCCTGCATTAATATAGTTTATAGTAATATTCTTAAATGCTACATTAGAAAACATTCAGCGAAGCTTCAGATTATCAACAAAAACAATCAAGACGAGATAACTCGTCATAAGATATAACTTTAACATCCATTTTTAAACCCGAGTTTGCGAAGCTAAGATTTTAAAAAATTCTGTCATTGAGTTAATGCAGAACTTCAAAGTTTTGCTGGACACCGAATTGACTTGCAACTTTTATCGCCCTTTTTATATTTTTTTGAAAAGGTCGAGTTGGA